TTTAGTAAAATTCAACAGTTTCGATTTAGAAGTAGATCCTTGAAAATAATGGAAATTATTTGCTGCTAAATATGATGCCACAAATTTTTGAAAATCTTCCGTTACTTTTACCATACCTAAGACAAGCCTGAGACGTTTTGAATTTAACTGGAAAACTTTATTGTAATCCCTTGAAAACATCTTTTCCCGAAGCTGTTTCGTTAAAGACTATTCGATTTGTAGAAATTGGGTATTTAATGTTGCTGCATTGAAGGCTCTCTTGAACCAATTAACAAAATTATACAATTATGTAATTATTACAATGTGATCCAAATGGGCCCTCTCTAAGGAAAGAAACTGATTGAGGAGCTACTAAGCTGCCGTCTGAGGTCAAAACTACGTATCTCTATTCAACATTTTTCCCCCTGAAAAAGTGCTATTTTACAAGAAAAATGACGAATATTCATAATTCATTTTTTCGAATCGACTCTAGCATACCATCAAAAACTCAAAGTGTAAAAATGAAGCCTTGTGGCAATTGGGTTTCCTTGTCATAGAGCGGTATGTGTGGAGGTAAAATACAACATTTGGATTGGAGTTACGGCAATTTTGGTGTGGACGACAGCGTAAATAAGGCTGTTAAGCCTCAAAGATAAGCAAAATAAGCAAGATAAGCAAAGATAAGCAATCAAAGATAGGTTCCTAAATATCTCCACTCTCCTAAAACCTCAGAAAATCTGTTGGAAATTTAACCCTTAGTATGGGTTAATTTTATGACTTTTGGGACGGGAAAACTTCAAGTCGCAAAACCACTCCGGCAACAAAGGATTTTCACTCCTCGCGCGGTGCGGCCAAAACTAGCCAGTGCTCGAGGCCATCCCTCATCCCTGTCGAGAAGTGAATCCACCGTTTCAAAGAGGGCGGGAATCCCGAAACTCGTGAGCCCTGACGCCCGAACCCACCCACCGAATCTAGGGCTCACTCGTTTTCGGATCTAAGCCTTTTTTAAAATATTCGCACGGGCGGAACGTGAACGTCTGGAGTGATCGTGACGGGCGTGCGAATCCGCGCGATGAATAACAGCGGCGAAGCGCGAACGATCGATTATCGATTATCGATATTTCCCATTAAAGCTATAGCAAAGAATCGATTATGAAGGTTAGACCCTGCTCGTCGATCTTTTTGTATGAGTTTAAATGGCAGATCGATCGATGTATCGCAAAGCACGCCACGCCACCGATAAATAAAAGCGGAGCCCCGAAGCAATCGCTCGCAATATTTCATTTATTTATTCACGAAGTCGATTGAGGCGGGGACGGGGAGGAGGGGAACCGGCTCATAAGGACTTCCTGATCATTTCCAAGTCATTAGACGATCTCCCCTTGGCGAGATTCCCAGACGATGCTTTATGAGCTGCGATCGAAAAATTTGACCCAATTCACGGTTCAGGAGAAAATTTTCGCCTGTGACGATTCGAGACAAGTTCAAATTTTAAGCGGAATTTTTCGACAAATTCCATTTTTTTCGTTTTGTCCAGTTAACGCAGCTTATCTGCTGGAGCAGCAGGGACATTACACATTAAATATGAGGTAAACGTATTGAGGTTACACGCGGTTTTGGCGTATTTAACATTTGGACTTTATTTTGCCATGAAGAACTACAATTTCTCACCCACCCGCACCAGCACCTATCAGTAAAAGGGAACGACAGGCGAATTGGAAAAATCTGAAATCGTCAGCTTGTTTATTTCATACTTTCCAATGCTGCGAAGTTGCTGACTCGTTTTTCCCAAAATTGGACGTATTTCTATCAAACGGAACTATGCGTATATTCTTAATAGGTCTTAGGGCTCATGTCTTAATGCACATAGTTCCGTTTGGTAGAAATACGACCAATTCATCGAAACTGGCATTGACGTAATAATTGGACGTATTTCTACCAAACGGAACTATGTGCATTAAGACATGAGCCCTGAGACCCATAAGAATACAAGCATAAGAGGACTCATGTTATAATGCACATGGTTCCGTTTGGTAGAAATACGTCCAATTGTCAGTCAGGCGGTATTCTTCATCAGCCCTTGATAAGTTATTACTAACATTAGTCAGAAGTAGTAGTTCCGTATTGCAAGATTATTTAGTCCATTTTAAAGTAAGCATGTTGTAACGTCGATACACACTGAATCAACAACTTTTGTTGGTTTAAATTATTTCCTCTCCTTCATTTTTTAAGCTTTCCTTATGACTAAAGAAAGAAAGCGTAATATTCGCAAACGGTGACAACATTGAAACGTTGATTTTCAAGTCCCTCTAATCAGACGTCGCGTAGAATCTGCGGTGGCTTGACGCAAGTAAGGACTTCTGCGACACCTCTTGCTGATTCCGTAAGCTGTCGCGCTTTAAGCTCAAAACCTTTTACGTAAATAAAGATAATGAGAACGCTTGTTTTCTTAGAATAAACTAACACACCTAGTCTCCGCGCGGCGAGGGGATTTCAGACGTATTTTTTTCTTCCATTTCCTTAATGAATGAAATATAAAGGTATTTGAGCGGTCAAATTTCGCTTTGTCAACTTTCTGAGCTTTGTGTCGAGTAGGAGAAGTTTTTCTGATTCTTTTTTTTCCGCCGTTGTCACGTAGAACCGTGAGAAAGGAACATAGCACTATAACTCAGTTGGGATTTTTCAAGTTGGCAACTCTCTCCATTTAAATCCATTAAAAATATCTATTTAAGGTGAGCCAACCTATACTTTACCAGTAATCGATTGTTTTACACACATTCATATAGGTCTTTTCAATTCTGAGGTCCCCACGAAATCCTCCTAGTGTTTACTCAGATTTTGATTTTTCTAACGCCTCCGATGAGATTCGATGCATTATCGATTACCGAAATGCAGGAAATCGATCCATTTCCCACAACTTGGAGGTGGGAGTAAAAAGTCCTCAAAAAATAATTTTTGAAAAATTTTCATCGGAGAAAAAATTCATATTAACCCAGAACACGCTACTGCAGCCTGGCAGTTTAACCTTGGACTATCTAGTGGTCCGATTGTTGAAATCGATAGACGAAGCTTTAGACAAAGAAGGCAAAAAGGATATGTATGGATCCTATTGGTGGAAGTGGGTGGTTACAATGGACATGGAAGGTAGGTAATAGACTAAGGGTAACCCACGAAAGACCCTATAGTTAGTCCATCATTTCCCTCTTGGGCTGTAAGAACCACCCGTTTCAAGCAATAGGATCGCTCCTTACTCCCTATGTCTTCTTTGTCTATCAATTTCAACAATCAGCCCGCTGTATGTATTAATATACACCGAGAAAAAGCTATGGCTTATGAACCAATTAGTGGTTCATAGGGAACACCCTCAATAGTTGTTTATGAACAAATGATTATGGGTCTGTGAACCATACTGTGGTAGCTTGTACCATCGTATGGTATATATACCATAACTAAGGTATATTTACTAAATCTCCAGTTCCTTTATGCTCTCTTTGTCAACACTCCCCCCTTACAATCGACCATATTTTACTTTCTTGCCCTAAAACCTATGCCACACGTATCAAAATTCGAAGTTCCCTCCCTCTTAATATGCACCCTTTGTGTTCAGATAGTCCAATGGTAGTAACAGAAATTTTAAAACTCTTCAAGAAACTAAATTTAAAAATTTAAAATTGCCTAGTCCCCGACGTAAATAGCCGAGATGCTGATCGTCGTTAAATAAAATTAACTAACTAACTATACGTTGCCTTCACTACTATTAGTGGTGTTCCATATGTACCACTAATTGGTTTATAAGCCGTAGATTTTTCTCCGTGTATATCTTATCCACCAAAGGCTTACGAATATCCCGGATTTTGCTTGAACTTGATCTCTAGGTAACGCGAGAAAGGTGGATTTCATCCCTTCCGACATGACTACATTGAAGGGATCGGTCGGTTCCGGGCTATTCAAAGGCTCGTATAAGGGCTATGAGTCTCAAGTGACCGCACGGCCGAATCGGCCGGGGAAAAAACCCCCCAGCGAGAGCGGACAAAACCTCAAAAGTTTCCTGGACTTAAACTCGGGCATCAAACACAACAGCGGGGAAAAAGTTGTCCGAGGGACGAAAAAAAAAAAGTTTATCCATTCATCACAAAGCGGGCAGGCTGTGGATACACCTAATCCATTATTCCCGTTCGGTTACGGTTGCAACAAAACCTCTGAAATGCGCGGGGGAAAGGGGGGGGGGGGCTCGCGGACAAGCACGCAGAAGTTGGGAGTCGCATCGTTTCAAGTGTCCTGCCCGTGCCCGATGAATCATTATTTGATGACAAATGTGCTTTTTTAAATTATAAACATGCGGGAGCCGGGACGTGTGTTACGAGCCCTGAGCGATCGTTGCGTTTTCGAATCGTCGAGTTCCGCGCACAGCGGATAGGAGCCGCAAGCCTCATCAGTTGATGCCTAATTTGACGGGGCGCTTTATTTTGTTACAAGATAACGTTTCTGCGGATTCCTTTGAAAAATTCGAGGAGTTTTCTTCGTTCTATGCTAAAAATTCACCGTCTAGTGGTTTTCAGAAGCGGTTCTTCGTAAAACAGACGGCTAAGATGCCGGGGCAATCGAACCGGGAAATGCGAAAACCGCTAAAGTCAATTTTTCCAGTCTGAATTTTTTTAAGTGAATAATACTTTTAAAGAGTTGATGTAACCATAAAAGTGATGAAAGGACTCGCTCTTACGTGGACAGTAAAGTGGGCATAAAGTCCATGTAAAGTGGACATAAGGTCCATGTACCGAAAATTCACTGATTAGGAGTTTTCAGAAGCGGTTCTTCATAAAATCGACGCCTAAGATGAACTTTTGGCTGGAAGTTGAAAGTGAAGCAAAGCATCGGCATGCAAAATTTGCTCGATTTATCTGCGTCTTCTCGATATGGAATCTCTTCAAGAGAGAATTTCATGTCGGTATCTGCTTTGTATTGCTTCGAAAATAAAGTTTTCAGAATTGAGGATTAACATTGCTCTCTGTTTCTTTTCGCAGCGTCCCGAATTCGGTACGAGATCACAAGCGGGAACATCGGAGGTGCCTTTGCCGTCAAGAACATGACAGGAGCCATCTACGTGGCCGGAGCATTGGATTATGAGACCAAGAAAAGGGTGAGTTTTGCCTCTTGCTTTTTCATCCCCCGTGCCCCTGCCACCCCTTCCCCACTCGTTCGCAATCTGCAGCCGTCATTTTTCAACTTAACCCTCTGCATTTATTTCCAGGATCTTCTCGTCATGCGAATTATGAAATGGGAGAAGCCGGAACGGTGTTTCGCTAAGATTTTGGTTTTTTTTCTGGATATTTAGCAACACTGCTTTTCTTCAATATATGAGAATGCAAAGCGATCGATATTTATCAACGCTGGCTTTCTAATATGTTATCGATTGACATTTCTTCTGCGCCAAGGATAAACGCTGTGTGAGCCGTCAGACGCTGACATTTTTCCTTCTTTAAATAATTAATGTACTGGGAAAATTGTGTATATTTTTCTTCGAATTTTCCAGACAATTTTGTTCGCAATTGAATCTAAAACAGCTGATGATTCCAAGGAAAAATATCCATATATTTCCTCAAAATACTTGTTTTCTTCGGAAAAATTTAGCAACTTTCTAATGCTCATTCGAGGTTTTTCCTTATAGCACGGCAGAGCCGTCAAATCTCATTTTTTGTGCAGTCAATAAGGTTAAAATAGAAATAAAAAGAATTGCTCTCATGCCCTGTCGCATAAATGTACATACGTACAAACACCAAAAATAATAAGCAAAATTTGCATTAAAAGGCAATTCTATTTATTATTATTTTAACAATCATTTTTTGCAACAGGTTGATAGAAGGAAAACAGTGTTGCTTTCCAATATTTTTCCGTTTCTTAAAAAATGATTTTCTTGCACTTTGCCAGACCCGTCAACTTACAACTCGTTTTTTCCAAAATTACGAAATTATTCTGCATAGCCTATTCTCATTGGATGCTTCATCATCTTCATGTCCATGCTAATTCTACAGCATGTCTTGTAGAATTCTGTCATTTGCAGGGTTATAATGAACGCGTCATCCGCTTAAATGCAACCCTCAACGTAGTAATTATTAGCTGAATACATAATTGGCTTTACTTTAAAATCAATTGTTCGATTGTCTTAATAGGCTTGTGCCTGAATTTCGATAAAATACTGGAATTTCGTATCTGCTCAATTGTATCAATGATTGCCGTCCCTCAGCGAAACACCGTTATGCTAATTACACTCAACTTGTCTTATGTCTCTTTGTAAATGGATCGATTTGATGACCTACATATTACATTTAAAAAAGAAAAAATATGTATATATTTTCATATGGTCGCTTTTGAATTAATAGATCCGTTTGTTAAAAACCAAATTATCCGTTAAAAAAACAAAAATCAATGCCCGTTTTTCACTTTAAGGCCATGCCATTGAATCGATTCATTATTCGACGTAATTATGGTGAATGGAATCATAAGCGAATAAAATCAAAAGGAACTGAAAACACACACACTATGCACATGAAATTTGCGTGCCCAATAGTTCCTCTCGATTCAGTTAATTCGCACATAGTTCATTTTCACAAAAATACGTCTAATTTTTCACATGTCTCACTAACTCTAAATTTTTTTCAGGGGTCAAGCTTACTTCAAACTGACTTTTGACTTGAAATGGAATGAAATGAAAATTCTTGACTCGAATGAAAATTCGTGAAATGTTTGATTGAAGATCCTCAAAAAGTGAACAAGTTTTGAAAGCAAGGAAATTTTTACCTTGACTAAAAAGGCAATGTGAAACGATAGCGCGGCGTGCGTTTTTTATTTCTCGATTTAAAGCCATCCATGCCTTGTGTCAAATTTGAATGGTAGTGCTATCGTATTGTTACAACACCGACTCCGATTTCCACCTTTAAAAGCTCCCGGAATTAAAATGCACATATCGCGGACAAAAGGACACGGAAGAAATTGAAACGGGTATCGAGCCTCAGCGGGTCGATTAATCGAACCTTAATCGATATATTGTCTTCCTGTGATGGGGTTGTATCGATAAAGATCATTCGATAACGACCGAACACTCCAGGCGCTTGGTGATCCGACGGCATCGCGCCGGGTGCCGAGCAAATTAATTAAATTGCATTCTCGCGCGCTGTTGCCAAATTTTATGCACTACGAGATCCCCGTCCTTTTAAATAGGGAATTTTCCTGCCTAATCTGACAGCGGTCTTATTCTAGGACCTGCATTTTAATACCGACTCCGGCTGTAAGGCCAAATCACCGTTCGGCCTCCGGTTCTGCGAAAATCTGCTAACAAGAAAAATCATTGCCATGCTACGAAAAAACGCCGTACGAACACCCGAATGTTGCCAAGATTCCTTTGACAAAGTACGGATTTCGGAGAAGCGTTATGAAGATTGTTCCCTTAAATTTTCGAACATTTTAGATAAAATTGTAAATGAAATTCACTGGAAAACTGGGGGAAAAATACTCAAAAGTTTCTTTGAAAATTCTTGTTTCTCGAAGTAAATTTGGCAACGTCTCAAGATTTTTACGGCGCTCTTCCTTAGCTTGCCTGCAGAGCTCTTCGTGTTGAAAAAACCGTGTAACCTTGCTAGATTTTTATTCAGTGTTCTCATATCCGTTGCTTCAATGCAAAAAAATCAAGAGCGAAATCTGATTGCATCACACTTCGTCGGTTTAAAATCATGATTTTACAGTTTAACTAGCCGCCGTTTTCGACGGCAGATGAAAGTCGTAAGCTCCATCTAATTTTTCGTCATGAGAATCGGTCGAATTCCAACCAATTTGCGGAGTGCTCACCGCCCCTCCCCCCCTCCACTGAACGTTCGGACGTTCGTTCAACAGTGCATGGGACACCACCATCCTCCTCCTCACCCCCAGAAACCGTACCCTATACTCTTCTCGATTCACCCCTCCATCGTGTTCACGATTCAAATACCTCCCCGGCCGTTCGAGTCGCAAATCGAGGGCAAGGTTGCCTGGTCGACGATAAAATACAAATATTCTGTCGTCGTAAGGAAGAACGCCGCATGAGCCTTCACACGTTGCCAAATTTCCTCCGACAAATCAAGAATTTTCTGGAAAATGTGTAATTATTATTTCATCCCATTTTTCAGAGAATTTTATTCAAAATTTGATCTAAATAGTCTGAAAATGTCAAGGAAAAATATTTTTAACTTCCTTTAAATATAAATATTTTCTAAAAGGAACTTTGACAACATTCTAATGCTCAGACGGCGTTTTTTCCTAGCACGACACAGTGGATCGAGATAATCGGAGAGGTTGGACATGCAATTTTTGACTAAAACTGCAAATTTTGATGTTTAGGCCGTCACATTTTAAATTTCAAGGGGTGCTTCAAGTACAAAATTTCACGAGGAAACCAATGAGCCCACTTTTACAACCTCTAAGTTTTGTATAAACGAAATTATGACCGTTTAAATTCTCCATATTTTGTCCGATCTCTCCTACTGACTCGATCCACCGTGCGGCTGTAGTTTACATAGGTTTAAATGGGAAAAATTGAGCTTTATCTGGCAACAATGATGGAGGGATACAAGGGACAGTATTCCGACAGTGTTGCGCCCTCGAGGGGGAAACGAGAACCTTCGGCGAGCTTTTTTGAGCTTTGGAGCTTTAAGAAAAGCGAGTCCATCGGGCGAGCGGTGGCATTGGCGGACTCGAGCATCCTCGTGGAAAATTGAGTTTCCTTTGTGCGAATGTGTGTCCTCGAGATTCCTTTGGAGCGTGTAATTATGTTACTCTCATCGCACGAGCTTTCCTGATTGGGAGGGAGGAAAAATTAAAATTATGAAAGCGATGTTTCGTCAGTAGCATATAGCGGGGAACAAAACGAAACTGGCTCCGAAGCAATAACACGGTCTGTTGGACGTCCGTGAGGATTGATTTGAGGACTTTCGGATCGAAGTCTGCAGAATTCACCATAGCAATTAATGATGGAAAAAAGAAGTTTGGTTTGACTGATCGGGGAGTGGTCCGACATCTTTCGAACAATTCGCTTCGCCGATGTGCACTGGTAAAAAAAACCTCTTGGTTCAAGAGTGCAGTTTCTTGTCGCCGGATTTAAGAGTCTGGACTCTTGTTTCAATGCAAAATCCGCTTGAATCAATGCAAAATCCGCTTGAAACAAGAGTTCAAGACTCTTGAATCGGGCGACAAGAAACTGCACTCTTAAGTCAATGCAATGCGGCATTGGTCCAAGAGGTTTTTTTTTGCCAGTGTGAATTTTTGGTTTATGTATGTACATCAGAGGTTGTTTGGAGCCTCTGTTCTAACAATCGAAATAATGTTATCAGTCGAGGCAAAAGGGTAACTTCAAACTGCGAGGAACCAATCGATGGTGAAACTTTCAACGTATCTTGGTTTGCAACGTTACTGACTTCCTATCATACTTAATTTTTTAAGTGAGGAACTGCTCAACGTAAACTCTACACAAATGCCATGATTTTTCCTCCATGCGTGAAATACACGCTGAAAAAACTTCTAGGAATAATGTTGATACACTCTCCTTCAAACACGGCGTGGCGTCCTTTCAGATTCATCGATTGATCTTCCGTTTAAACCTATGGAAGGGGATCGCAACGAACATCTCCATAATCGATTCTTTATCATTGCTTCAAATGGGGAAATAGCGATAATTAATCATTCCCGCCTTGCCACTGTATTGGACATCTAACTTTACACCAGCCACAGACTTCCTTCAGGAAGGCTTCTTGCTTTAAGAGCGGGAATTTTCTCCTTTTTTTTCGTGGATCGTAAAAATCGGTTTTCAATACCGGAATCTAGTTACCGGGAACGTGGCAACATGACAGTGCGCCTGAGCACACAATTGAGCCTGAGTTACTGAAAATAATTAATCGAGTACAGGTAATCCACGTTGTAAATAGGATCACGCCTCAAATTATCGTACCAGGAATACCGCGGGGCTAAATCTACCGTAAACGCAGGCATATACAAAGGTCGTTTGAGTAGGCCAGGAAGTCGTGGAAAATGAAATGCAGTCCCGACAAACAACCCGGAACATTTTTGCAGAATCATTGCCATCAGTCACATACAACTCCAGACCGTGCCGGTATT